ATCGACGCATAAAATGGGATCAAGATCGCATCTGGGTGGTCCTGTCTGCATTCTCTGCCCGGGATTATTCTCACTGTGACATTTTTTTTCATTCGGATAAAGGAATTGTATAAAAAGAGGGACTCTATAGAATCACAGCGTGTGATATGAATGATGACGGTTTTTTATTCAACGAGAATGTTACTTTTTTCTCCATGTGACGTTGGAACCGATTTTGAAATTTATTGGAATTTTTTACCACAATTTCCAGGAAATATCCTCTCATGGGAGTTGATTTGAAATTTCCAATCATTGATGGACCTCAAAATAAACATTACCCTTTTAAAAATGCACCCTCGGATGAACTGCCGGGAAAACGAGTTCCGACCACACAAAAATACTGGTTGCGTTTTAGTGTTTTTTATTCTTTTCGTTGTGGACGTGAAGAGAGAAAGAGCGAGATTGATTAAACTGCGAGCCGCTGCGATCCAATCAAATGCTCATTCCGCAGATCGTGCTGAACAGATTAAAGGGCCTCGGCGCGCCGGCCCTTGATCCTTTCTCTTCCGAGACTCCAATTCCGTCTGACGCTACTCAAGACGAGTTATTTGGAAGGAGGATTTTGGAGCTTGTACAAATAAGTACACACAGTCATCAGCAAAGTCTCTTGAAACTTGTATACAAACAATTCAGATATTAATTTTGTACAAAATAACTCTCCAAAACCTGAGATAAATAAAATACAGTAAATGATGGAGAAGAGAAAAAATTTAAACATACCTGAAAATGAATCCAACAAAACAAATAAAATATTTGGTTGGATTTGCTTTGCTTTGCTGTATTTTTTAATAACGCTTTTTTTGTATAAATCCTGTTGAATTTCAAAAGCCAATATTGACTTTCCAACGCAAACACCAATTTGGAAAACAAAATAGCACTTTAATACCACAGTGATTAAAAAGTGTAGTATTAAAAAACAAATACATAGAATTTTTTTACATATCAAAAGACTGGACCATTTTTCTGGGAAAGCGAGATTATGATGATCAAAAAATGCATAAAATAGGCCATTTATTATTAAAGCGCTTTGTCACTTTAATGAATTCAATAAAATTGTATTATTTTACAAGTTAAATTAAAATATTCCATTATAAATAAGTGATATTTCCATGGAAAATAAAGTAAGAAGCTATGAGTGGAACATTTTGTGGAAAAAATCTAACCATAAAATAATTTAATTGTGTGGTGATTTCAACAATATTTGTTTCTGGCCTGATTCGATTTAAATAATTAAAAATTAAATTTAAAAAATAATTATTTGCATTAATCCCAAATATTTCCCATCATCATTGACGTTACCTTTCAATTTCGTCAAATTTTTTTATTTTTATTTTTTTTTCTTTCAAGGTCACAAATTTCATAGTGCTGCGCACCGGATATTTAAAATTAAATATGATCATTTTCGTGTTTGCTGTTGTCCAAGATAAACATCGGCCAGCAATTTGCGCCCAATTTCACGGCGCGTGCAAATCGAGAGTGCGTGGCAAAGAGGCGCGAAGCGAACAAGGTTGCATTTTGATCTTTTCTTTCTTTCTTTCTCCTATTAAAAAAAAAAATAACAGACGCCACATTTTTTTCAACTCTTTTCGGACCCCGCCCCAGTTTGCAGTTGTCCGAGAAGGAAACCGGATCCGAGAATCTGGTCGCACATTTTTCGCGTGCGAGTGGAATAATCTCTGCGTACTCGCACGAAATCCTTTAGCCTCCCCCCGATTGAAATTCGCGCTCTCCGCAAAGCTGCTTTGCGAAAATGAGAAGACGCAGAAAACACACCTTTGCCGCATTCTTCGAGGCAAGGTAGTTTGAGCTGCGGTTGCAAACTTCGCACAGGGGAGATCAAAATCGGCTCCCAAAATATTGATTGTAAAAAAAAAATTCAGACGAGGTTTATATTTAAAAAAAAAAAAAAAAGAAAACCAAAATCTGGTGTTTCAAACTTTTCAATAGAGAATCCGAATCTAAGAAGAAAAATATAGATGGATTTTTATGAAATTTTTTAAGATGCAAATATAATTTAATTAGGCTCATTTTCCACAGCTTTTTTTTTTGTACATTGTTGTACATCATCTTAATTAATCAGCCTTCTTAGCTTAAAGTTAAATTTAAATAAAAAATTAAACGCTTTTTATGATGATTATCAATACTCTGATAATTATCAATTAAATTAAAGGAAAACATAAATTATTTTCAACAAAAAATTAACTAATTTCATTGAAGAATCCTTGAATTTGACAATTTTAAAGCACATCTGCTCATTCATAAAACGATATTATATTATCCCATCCAAATTAAATTGTGTCTGCTCTTGAACTACCTGCAGTCAAGGATCTCTTCAGACAGAGATCAAAAGTAGTTAGCAAACCACAAGTAGCGAGTTTCTTCAGTTTGTTCTTCTGCTGATAAAATTAAGAAAGCACTCTCAGCCGGTTTACCGCGAAATCAAATTTTGCAAACCGACTCTCGCGAATTTTGACGCGTGTTGAGTGCTTTTAGAAATGCTCCGTCGCGTCTCGCGGGTTTCTTTTAACCTGCACTCGAAGTCACTCTTTTCGCCCGGGATCAAATCATTAGCTAATGAATGTCGACGTGCCAAAAGATCCATGCTCCCGAGATAAACCACGGCGGGGTCGCCCACGGCGCTGCTCTGATAAAGCACGTTCACAATGACTTTGTCGTCTCGCTAATTTCTGCAGCACATTCTACAGAGGCCGATGTCGCCACAAATTTTCATTGTTCCACACGGATCAAATTAACTTAAAAAGTTTTTGAAAAAAAAAATAGTACTTTATTAAAAAAAAAAAAATAATAATAATAATAATTTTATAACCTTTAAATTTTTTCAAACAATTTGGCCATATTTTACATAAATATTTGTAATTTTTAAAAATAAATTTATTATATATTATTTTTCCATTTTAAATATTTATATTGTAAAATTTAATATTTTCCATTTATTGAAAACTTTTTATATTAATTACATTAGTTAAATTTTTAGAAAAATATAAATAATGATTAATTTTAACAGTTTGCATAGAAATTTGATAATATACAATCCAGTATCTTTCCATCGTCCATTTTTGATAGTTAATTGATTAACATAATAATGTCACACATTACTGCTTACTAAATTTACTCAAAATCAAATATTCTTACAAAATGTCATGAAATAATGAATCAACGACGTAATAATATTGCATTTTTGGTAAAGTATAGCCATCAAAATTGTTACCCAGAGTAATGTAGGTATGTCAGCACATGTGAATCTTTTTAAAGAAAACAACATAAATTTTGTTGAAAGCATATCTAGAAAAAATTATTCAATTTATTTTGACCCATGACAATGTTGTACTATCCTAAATTAATTAAGATTACTGCCGTAAATACAACATTTTGAAGATATTTCATTTATTCCCACAGTTTGGCTCGTCTTTGTTGAAATATTTTTGATTGATAATAATTTTAAAATTTAAGCAGTAATTAAACTGCTTCAGTGAGCCTGAAATCCGTGCGAACAAAGCAACTTGTGCATGTGGCCGTGAATGCAAGCAACGGTCTTGAAAAAGGAATAACGCACGATGCACGCTGATAATAAAAAATAAATCCACAGCATACCATGCCTCCGCCGAGTGAATAATAATTTGCAGCGTTGCCAAGCAAATTCCGCTGCTTTGAAAGAAGAGCAAATATCTGCTTTCAAGAATAAATTCAATCTTATATATTGTCATTTTGAAAAATGCAAAATGCACTTTGGTGAACACAAATTGGTCATTCCGGACAAGGAGGAGTGTTGGGCGGAGTGATTGGTTTTAATCTTAAGTGGAAGTCCGTGTCGCCCTCGTCGTAAAACACTCAATCAAACAGGGTTACTCGCTATGTTAAATTGCAGTGCGCAATTCCTCCACTTTATTGGGGAAATAATAAAGTCGTATAAATAAATCAGGGTCACCCGGCGCAGCTAAATTGAGACTCACTCACGGTCGTGCACGTTGAAATGAGAAAAAGTAAAAAAAGTTTGAAATCCCTGAAGCGTGGATTAGCCGGTCTGGCTGCTGCACCTTCCTTCGAATCCATTTATGCTCACTTTTTTCCCATCGCCGATGCACCATGAGAGTAATTCACCTGGAACCTCGCTAGCTGATCGCACAGAGTGCACAAAAGGATTTTCCCCCAGCTACCACCGAGAAAAGTGCATTTGCTTTTGATCAGAATAAAGTGAATAAGCTCGCCATTAGCCTGTCAGCGTTCTATCTTTCTTGGGTGCATTGAAAAAAGGGAGGATTTTTTTCCCTTCTTCTCTCCATTACATTAATGAGAAATTATTTTTTTTCCAACTTCGTAATTTAATTAAATTTTTTATCATGCCACAGAAATATTTTTTTATTTTACCGCTGCCAGTTTTTAGTCATATGCCATTTTTTTATTGCAGCCAAATTTTATTTCCATTTTTACGCCCTCGTTCGTTTCCGCCCAGATTGTTTCTCTTTATGACAAAATTTATTACCCCTTTTATTATTTCCCTCGTTTCATATTATATGTTTTTTCGTTACTGATTCGCATTGAGTTCAGTTCATTTGTCTAAGGAGCTCATTCGGGAACATTTTATTATTTTCCGACTTGCTTTCGCCAGATTCCACCTCGTGTTCAATGAAATAAACATCACGGATAATAAAGCGGTAGCAGTTCCGGCCGACAGTAATGCGATGACCGTTATGACCATAATGTAATCGCAAGCAATGCATGAGAAAATATCCCACAACTTTTTACGACTTGCTTCATTTACTGGCTTTGCACGCGGTGTGCGGGCTCTGAAGAAAAAATTCGTTTCGGCACCGTTATTAGTTATGACGGAAACGAAAATACTCCAGATCGATGTACAGGATATGCGGTGGTTTCAATAATTTTAAAGAGAAATTATATATTTATTACCTGAGGCGCTAAGAAAGTGTGTTGTTTTGTTGCAGGAGCTCGGAATAATTCACCGAGCAATGGTGGAATGAAGGAACCCGGACCTCTCTGTGATTTGGTAAGTACATTTTTTTATTTTTAGATCTGATGTAAAATGATACTTTCAATATTTTATTCTTGTTTTGTTAAGAGTTGAATTAAATATTACAAAATAACAAACTCAAACGTACACACAGCGAAAAATCTTCAAATTTATGTATAGATGTATTAGAAGAATTTATCATTTTATTCTTAAAAAAAATTAATTAATTCACCTAAAGTAATTTTTAAAATTTTGGTAAAAATAGATTGATTGTTTTTAAGAACGATAATAAATTACATTGGATTCGCTACGAAACGAAAATGAAAATACTTGCGGCAATTCTTTAACTATTCAAGTCTCTTTCATTGAGACTGAATACAAAATCAAGGACGAGAGCTGCAAAGAATAAAATGCTCTCTTTTTGTGCCCTCGCAGGAGATATACGAGATTTGCTGGATTTGCATACAATGAACGGCGTTTCTGCATTGTAATGACGGTGAAAACGTTTAATTGCTTTGCTGATGGTCATTGATACAACCACTTTTTATTCACCACAGTTCCAATGGAGCTTTCAAGCTTAAGCGTTTCGCTTTTCGAACATATTGAGGGTGGGAAAACTACACGGTTGAATTGAATAATATATTGTACAAAATGTATGTGTATCGACCCAGGAGGACGGATAGCGATCAAATCACACGCTTCGGAATAAATCTTTCAGATCCATTGAGAATAGGAATTTAAATAAGCAGGGTGAAAGCCTTGAATAATCAAATGAAATAAAATAAAAATATTTCACAATCAAATTAGGTTTAAAAACGTACATCCTGAGATTTTTAATGTTACAACTTTCTATAAGGCTATAATTTTCTATTGAAACTGTTGATATTATAATATTTTATATCGTTGAAAAATAAAAAATTTAATTAATTAAAATACATAATCAAAATATTTTCTTTTTATATAAAAAAGCATGAAAGTTAGAAGATTTAGAAAACATAAAACGTTTGACGTAAAAATTCTGGGCGAGTCTTCTTCTCCGCCCTCGGAAATGGCATTTTCGGAAAAGTAATTTAAACACAAAGATAATCCCGCACATCATGAAAAACGACCCCGAGCCTTCCTTCTCTGCGAACTCCCTCCGTTTTTTGCGTTTCCTCATCATTCAGAGCGCATTACACAACCGCTGCGAGCAATTAAAGAGCACTTTTCCGGACGGAAGGACAAAAGTGTTGAGCGCCGTCCGGCTGCCCAATTTCGCAGGCATTTTGCGGTGGCGGCGTTTTATTAAAATAGTTGGCCGTTGAGGGTTGGAGCGTGTTAATATCTGGGCGCTGCCGTGATAATGATAATATCACATCCCTGCACACACAGAGCGCCGAGATTAGAGAGTTTCAAAATGAAGAGCTGCAACTGGCATGCAAAAGAGCCAGCAGGGCTTAAAGGTTTTTGTGCCTGCAACAATGTGCTGCCCGGATTATCTCGCGTACGAGGTCAAGCTGAGCCGGACCAGTTGATATACCAACGCAACGTTTTGCACACTCCTTCCTCCGTAACATAATCGGTAAACACAGTCCAGCCATCGCCACACATTACGTGTGAAACCATTCTCTTGTTCCAAAGGGGATTTGGTTTGTTCCAATTTAAATGGAAATGTTAACATTCACATCGGCTCAATGCAGCCATTTACATTGAATTTGTGTTATGGGCTTATACGTAACTTTTTTTACCTAGAAATTTCAATAAAATTCGCTTCCAATGATCAAAATTGAAAAATAAAAGGTTTTTACAGTATTTCATTATTTCATTATTACAATAATTTCTTTTATTTTTTTCCATTCCTTATTTTACCTCTTACAATTAATTTCTTGCTTCTTAAAAAAATACACCACGGAGGTATTCAAAATTGAAAAAAAAAGGTACAGCAAAATATAAAATGAAATATGAATATTTTAATTATTTACGAACTGAATGCGAAACGAGGTTCAAAAAAAGATTCTTCTTAATTAGCCTTTCACAATCAGAACGATTATTGCGGCCCGTTGTAAAATATAAGAATTCAAAAATACTCGTTCGTTTAAGAAAATTAAGTCATAAATATTATATTCAACGAGATTTAATTTTAAAAGCTTTTGCTCATTCACAAATTGTCGGAAGCCATAATGCAATGTGAATTATTAGTCACGTTGGTTAATTGTTGCTGGTTCCCAACCATAATTGCACCCAGGCTGCAGAGTGGCAGATAATTAGCGCGAAAATAAAAACGAATATTCATTTTCCAGCTGCCTCTGTTGTTAAGGACGTTGCACTTGTGCTTGTATATTTCTCTCTCACACCGAGTATAATAATTTCCCTCTCTTTCTGGCGTGCTTGCTCCTCTTGTGTTTGCGCCCCGTATAGTTGTAACACCGAGCAAGCTTGATAAATTATTCGCATCGCACGACGGCTCTCTTCTTGTGGTCTTTTCTTTGGCGTGTTATTTGTACAAAAGCACATGTGTGCTGTGGGAAACGCCGGGGAGATTAATGCGGAAGATTAGCCATTTGTTGGACCTCGGGGACATCGCCTTGCAGCGAAATTAATGTTGCGTGTATTTTAATTCGCTAACAAGTGACAAGTGGTCGCGCGCGAGCAAATTGAGAGGCACGAAAAAAACGTGTGAAATAAATGGGAGTCATCGTCACCCTAGGCACGAGGCGCAATGACCTTTTTAGCCAGGATTAATCCAACTGAAAAAGTATTCATGATTAAATACAAAAAAACTAAAATTTTATGTTTGTTTTCTTAATTCTATAAAAAAGGGATAGTTTGCTAAGTGAATGAATCAGGCTCAATATTTAGTTGTAAAAGACACGAGATAAAATTATTTAATAAATATTCAAAATACCAAAATAACGATATTTTAATTTTTTATTTCTGTAAAAAATTCTCAAACTAGTCCATAAATTCAATTTTATCATAATAGCTTGTCATTTTTTATCTACATTTTCAATATATCTTTCAATGTTTATACAAAAAGTTTCCGCCAATTAATATTGAATGTCCTTTCGAAGAATCGAGAACTTGCATCCAAACAAGAAGTTATTGAAACAAGATTGTAACTTCGGGCTCATGAAATCAGAGTGTTAACAACCAAAGTTTTTGCGCTCATCTCTCGGCATAGCAGGTCAGCCAAAGTTTGTGTTGCTAATTTGATACTGTACGTCAGACGCAGCTTTTTGCCAACGGGGCGAAGGGTTAACTTCCTCTGGGGTGCCCTCGCCGGCCGGGTCTCGTTTTCCCCTGACCTGAGACTGACTTTCTTTCTTTATCTATCGCAACTTCCGTCCCTAAAGGACCGGCTTTGATCGGTGCTCGGGCGGCGAATTCCCTCTCTCTCAATAAAACAGGGGCAGTGAAATAAAAATCGCGCAAACTTTTCCTTATTGCGGGCAGCAAAAGTGAATTTTTTAAAGACCAGTCAGCCGTGAGCCTCTCGTTCGTTTATTATTCATGAACGTGCGCGCACTGAGAAAAAAAAACAGAATTACGCCGAGAGTAAAAAGAAAAGAAAGGTCGTTTATCCCTAATTGCAGACTGCAGGTCAGCAACCACTCGTTATTGCACCAATTATCCTTCGCGCCTGATTGTTTTATTGTCTCGCTTGAGCAGTTGATTGTGCCAGAAGGGATTGAGAATGAACAATAGAGGCTGGAAAAATGCATAAAATTGTTTAGAAACCACAAGGACGAAACGGATGAGCTGAATCTAATTTTGAAATAAAAATATACGGCATGATAATAAAAATGTTATTAATAACAATATTTTCTTACAGCAATATATTTTTTTATAAATTCAATAGAATATTATTAAAGCAAAGAATATTATTATATTATAATATTTTGATTTAATTTTTAATTTTTTTAGTTGTACTGATTAATAGCCTACACAAGCTCCTTTAATTGAATCGTTAAAATTAATCAAATTAGTTTCAAAACTAAAAATAAATTAAAATAATTAATTTCAAACCTTAATGTTATGTATTCAAAAATTTTGTAAAAAATATCGAATGTGCCAATATTTTCCTTCATATTATGAATCTTTATTCAAATTTAAGACAGTTTCATCGTCACTATAAATTATGGAATGAAGCTTAAAAGATTGACTGTTCTATAAATAAAACCTATTAATCAGAAGAAAACTCAATTATGAAAGTATCCCACTTTGAATTTGGAGTATCAAGGGTGAAATAAATATTTATGTTATATGAGGTTGTTTCGAATGTAAAGCTCGGCGCATTATTTGTGCCTCCAAAATTTATATATTGTTATAGCAGAGCGTGCGTGATTTTCTACCGCAGACATAAATTTCAATACCACATGAATATACTAAACTCAAAAGGGAGACAGATTTTACGGTCGCCATATCCGAGTGACTTAAAATAATAATTCGAGCCTCGCCTATAATTCGATTTACCGCGGCCGAAAACCAGTAGCTGGTTTTCCCGAAATCCGACTCATTTTTCCCTCTCACGGCGCGTTATCACCGTCGGGCTGCAGGAACTATGAAAAGCTTTTAGCCTCAAATAGGCTCCTTTTGTGTCCTGCAGCTTCGATGATACGGAGCTTATTTTTGTAATTAAGTAGGCAACCAACACCCATCCATTAGTGCGGCCGATTGATGCTGTTGGATGGGTATAGGTAGAATTTTAGATGACGCCACTCCGCAACTCACAAATCTCGCGCCGACGGGCATATTGGTGCATCGTATTTTATATCAACAAAATAAATACACGGCGTGCCTCGCCCATCCCCCGCGAGAGACTCTTTTATTGGAATGCCGTGGGTGGGCGTTTTATTATTTCCACATCGATGTTTGGCCGCTGAGAAGATTTGGGGAAAACACATTACCTGTGAAATCATACAACGAACTTGGAGACGCAAATATTTATTATTGGAAATTAAAATTCAACAACAGCATGATATACGAAGAACTTATAATCAACATGGCAGTCTTTGCAGAAAATATACATACCAAATTAGCTAAATTAATGACTTTTA